CTACGTATTGATTCTGAGGGCCAACAGGAGGAAAGGTACGGCGCAGAGGACGGTTAGGCTGGTCTAATCCCCCGCCGTCTCGTATCCCGGTGGCGCATGACGTCATCGAAAGTGTAACTACCAAACCGAAAGCGGTTGTGTGGGTGAAAGCGCTTGTGGAAGCTAGTTATATCTTCTATCGCTGGCTTTGAAAATCATGAATGAATTTCCGGCCACGTTTTGAGGGTAAATTTAGCGAAATCTTCCCACGCTTCAGAACGATATGGTGATGTGAAGCGCAGTCATTGTGCACGACTTGGGAGATAATCTTTCGCAACATCGCATAATGAGTGATATGTGACTTCCAGAAAAGAAATAAGGAGCTCATGCTGTAGGTGCATATTGGCTTCTACCTTGATTTCCACGGAAAATCAGAAGGGCTGGAACTTTGTCCGCTCTTCCTTATGGCCGTAAACGTGAATCAGTTGAGTTCAACCCAGACAGGACGCCAATATTGCCACCTACAGGACCTGACTGGACAAAGTATTCTTGTGGCTAAAGTAGGGCCTCGCTCCTCGTACCCTACTGTTTTGATACCTATCAAATGTGTTTGCTATAAGATTTTGAGAGCACATTCACTTATGCACTTATCCGCCGCCCATATAGCGGGGGAGTTCCGTGATTTTCGATATTGGGGTGAATAAGTTACCGTCCACCGCCGGTTCACACAAGTGACAAGTCATTTGGGTCGGTTCTGGGTTTGCTCGACTTGGGCGCTCGATGCGATCGCAATTCGACCTGGTTGAGCCGTAAACGACAACATCAGATCTGCGAGGACGATGAGTTGCATATTTTTGTTCTCGTGGGTTCGCTTTCCTTCTGCGAAGTCATCCCGTTTTTCTCTGTTTCCTCTTCCGGTCAAACACTCAGCCAGCGCCTGACCGTTTTGTCTGTGAGTACGGGAACATTCTCTGCCCAGATCTCTCAAAATGGTAAGTTGGGATCTCGAGCAGACGTTTTGCTCCAGCGAGTTGCTCGTATAGGTGTGTCAAGATAACTACAGTAGTTTTTTTGCTGCTCCTTGACAGAGTTTCGGATACCCTCCGCTTCACGCCGGGAGCAAGAAAGGTATCACCACAGTTAATGACCCACTGCCTCAGACAGAAATAAATCTGCATGGCCTACGGGACGCCTTACAGACTGGGTACGGACAGAAGCTTCTCAGCTCTAACTAGCCTAATATTTGCGTATATATTACGGTGTTACGGGTTGACTCGTTCGACTGTGTCCTTCCTCCACAATTACGCAGATAATCGTTGCCGGATGCCAGTGTGGAGCTTCCCTCATTCTTGGTCTTTTGTGTCAGGTTGGGATCGGTGGCGAAAAAGAGTACAGAAGTTCATCCTTTGGAACTGTCCGAACTTTTGGTACGTATATACGAGCCGAAAGTGGCCTCCACAGGCTGTTATCTTACTGTCGCTTTCATATTTTTGAAGATTTCACCTTCCCGCTATCCAAAAACTAATCGTGAAAATTTCTGTTGCAGAACACGGATAACTACGATCAGGTGAGATATGCCATGCTCCGTTCTACCCAGGGTATCCACGCACCCTTAAGACTGCAGATGGAGAAGTTCCTCGTCGAGCAGGTATGATCAGTGATACGCTGGCTGCTGATCCAAACACTTTTGTCTCACATTATATGTTTTGCGTACAGCCCTCGAGAATGTCGGTCTTTCCTCCTTCTCATCTCCATTTGGAAGTCCTTAATGGGAAGGACGAAACTATCGATTTCGAGGATGTTCTTAATGGTGAGTCCTTTTATGACTGTTTCACTTCCGGTTGTCGCTCATCCCGCATACTCCTAATTCCTGTATCCACCCTTTGGTGTTTTTCGTAGCGCCTGAATTTTGGGAGAAGAGTGTTCAAGCTCATGTCCTGATGGAAAAGAGAGCCGACATGTACTTGTAAATCTGTACTGTAGTCCGAACGAAAGAAGAACCATTTTCTTACAGTTTATTACGTGGGGAAAGAAATGACCGTAATAATTATAGTTCTTCAAAATTTTCACTCATTTTCGAACTATCCAGTCTCCGGATAATCTGGAAGCGACCAATTCTCCAACCGCGTTGATGAAGACGACAAGTAACAAGTTAGGGAGCAGAGTCACCTTACTAGAATTTCACAAAGCAAACTGAATAATTAAAAACGCGTTCACTTATTTTTCGACACTTCGACTGGTACATTCGCAAGCCCAACCGACGAAGCATGCGCCAGTAACAATCTAGAAATTTGCTGAGTCTCCAGATACAATCTCGTTTCTTTTAACCAGTCTTGCGCTACTCTTCTCGGTTCGCCCTGGAGTTGTCCGACGAACCTAACGGCGGTTTCCAGGTCGCCTTCCTGCACTAGCCGGTGGGCAGTAGCAAGTATTCTGAAGGTGTCCAGCCCGTCGAGATCGACTTGTGAAACATCGTTCAGCGCGTAATGCCTGTCGCGGACTAGAACCGACTGTATGTATGAAAGAAAGTAGCGGAACATGCTGGCGTTATGGTCGTCTACTAGTGCCACTCGACGAGCTGCGTTCCGCACATTTTCAAACCGAGCACGTAAGGTGTCTTCGCTGTAGACACCTCGCACCAAAGCTTCTTCCGGCACAGCCTAAATAGCGAAAAAGAGACCAGGAATGTAGATCAGCGAGACTCATTCTAGTAACGATCGGAAGCAAAATCGAAATCGAAAAGAGCTTGGCTAGGACAGAAAGAATTAGCAATCTTGGTTTCTTACCCGTAAAATGCTGAGGACGAAGGGGTGTGAGTCGCTAAAGACTTTCGCCAAAGTGACAAAACGCGACAGCGGAACTAGCTTTTCTCCTGTGGTCTGTGTACCTTTCTCGCCATGTTTCACGGCATCGTACAAGGCGTGCGAGGTATGCCAGAGGTATTGGGCTTTCTGACTCAGTTTGTCTGCCTTTGCTCGACCTAAAAGTAACACGATCATTTCAAAACCGAAGAAACTTCAGGAAAACACGAATTGGACACTCACTTGCGATGGCATCTTCGATTCCCTTTACGCGTCCAAGCGCGCTGGCTACTTGCAAGTTAAATCGCTGTCTTTCCTCTTCCAGCCTTCTTTCAAGTCTTGTCTGAAAAAGCTTCTCAAGTTCCTGCTCTTGCTGTTTTAGAGCATCACCGACGGCACCGGCGTGTGCGGCGATCTGTCGTTTCAACTGTTGCTGGACATCCCATTCATGCTCTTCCTCCAATTCCTCAATCTGTAAATTTAATCAGAAAACCCCATAATTACCAAAAGCACTCATAGCAGCCACAAATCTGCGTGTCCACGAAAAGAAGTTTCAGTAAATGTAATCGCTTACATAAGTATCAAAAGCAGCGTCCAGATGATCTTTAGCACTGGCTACGGCGGCTTCGACCAATTTTTCCTCGTCCGGTGTTAGCTCCCGACCATCCAAAAAAACCGCCAGGTCGTAAAGCTGCATGCGTTTCGCTTTTTCCAAGACTTCCTGCGCAGCTTTCTGCGAACAGCACAATTAGTAAGCAACTGCAGTAAGAAAATTTGGAACGATCACTTAAGCTTCAGATGATACCTCTAATGTTTGCACTTTGGTTTCCAACCCGGCGATCTTTGCCTTGGCTGCAACAACATCTTGCCGCAGTTCCTTATCGTCACCTCTGCTGAATAGGTCCGATGTTGTGGTGGAAGAAGTCTGGTTGACCGGCGCAGGAGCGGGAGCAAGCGCTGTCCCGAGACCTGTCCCAAAGCCACTTCCGCTTGACGAGCCAGAAGACTTTTTCTTGTCACTTCCGGCTTTGTTTCCGTCTAACTCAGAAGGTAAAACTGGTTTCTTTTCCGAAGCTGAAACACAGAATGATACCATAACGATATTCACGAAAAATCTTGCAGTCTAAAAGCTTCCATCGTACTTTGGCATATCGGTTCGTTTAAAGCGACCAGGATTCAGGACGAATTCCTTACGATGCAAATAAGACTTTGCTCAAGCAAGACCTTACCTAAAGGTGTTTTGTCAGTGGTGACTTTATCCGCGGTGCTTCCAAAGATGGTAGGAACGGGAGATGGTGTTCGAGCTTCAGGAGTACTCGTAGGCTTTACTTCCAGAGGCTTCTTGTCGCTAACTACAGGCTTGGAGGGCGTAAAGGAAATCGGCTTGGATGTATCGATAGTCGGTGAAGGTTTCGTGATGGCTTGCGGTGGGCCTGATGTACGTGCAGGTGTATGAGACGGAGATGTTGCTTTCAACAGGCCGTCCAAGATGGGTTTGGTAAAAGGGAGCTGATGCTGGAGAGTTTTCCTGAACTCTGGATCGTACATCGCATAGCCTAATGGAGCTGCCACGGCCACTGTGCCCAATCCCACAAACTTGATGATCTTCCCGCCTGCCGATCTAAAATGCGCAATAACGACTGTCGGTGCCATCCACGCCACACTACATCGTGGGAAATATCTCACCCAGACTTCTGTTCCGCGTTATAGTCGTACTCCCGTAACCGTGATCGACTCGTGTGGATGAGCTTCTTTGAACCAACGGATGGCTGCTGAGCGACTATACCCTGACTCTCCGCAAGCTGCAACCATAGAAGAAATCTTAGTACGACGTACACACCTTAACAGAGGCGAACGTGCTTACTGTGGAAAGATGGAGCTTGTTTGCGGCGCGTAGCATGATGAGGGGGAGGGCGAAGATCACAATACAGTAGGTGAGACGGCAGATCAACTGCGGATGCTCTTCCACCTGCACAGTTTCAGCTTTTCGCCAAAGCGATGCTTCCAGATGGGCTCTTCTCTTGGCCTTGAAAACTACACCAGGAAGAAGGCAAGTAAAACTACATCACGGAGAGCGAAAGCAAGACATCTTCCGATCCGAAGTTCGAAAATTGAAAGATGATCTGAGTGGCTTTTCGGCCCCTGCGCAACAACAATCAAGCAGGGCTTTACAGCCGCATTAGCCTAATAGCGCTAACTTTTCCTAGAGTAGTATGGAAAGATCATGTGGCCGAGTGGTCTAAGGCGCTGGATTAAGGCTCCAGTCTCTTCGGAGGCGTGGGTTCAAATCCCACCGTGATCAGAGTTTTTGTTTTTTTTCACCTGCCACTTACCGTTCTCGCGTCAACTTCTAAATGGCAGTAGCCCTTCGTCTACTGTTGGCGAGGATCGCTCGTAAAACTCGTAAAACTGACCTTGCACTGTGATTGGGAATTTAAGTATATTTCGTTGTGAATTTCTATTGATGAAATGCGCAGTATGCCTATCACGAAGCATCTTCGAACGGTAGGGAGAACTAGAGAAAGTCCGCTAGCTCGTCTTCATCAACATGAATCTCAAACACATCCTTGTCAACTTCCTTCCTACTGGTAGACTCAGGGACTTCGTCTTCCAGCTGTATATCATCCACTAACTGCTCTTCGGGTAATTCGTCGCCGTCTTTCGTAGACCGAGGATGAGAAGAAGGCGTGCGGGTATTCCACTCTTGATCAAGAATCTGTTCAAGGGCGAAATGACCTTCGTCGAGGCCTTCATCGATTTCTCCGTCTTCCAGAGCGAAGGAACTTTCATTATTCAGGTCCTCATCGGCTTCGGGTGAATCGCCGGCGTTCAACTTGCTCATCATGGCCCGCAGTGCCTGTGCGCGAAGCTCCAGTTCCACCAGTTCCATCTCGGATGGGTCCACACCGTCCACGCAGACATCAGTCTGAACTTTATTCTCTTCCATAGGAGCACGTCGTTTCGAAGGTTCAGGAGACGGAGTTGTTCGCGAAGAAGGGATCGAGTCATCGTCTGACGGATAATCGTCCCTCTGAAAAGCACCAAACTCGATTCAATCATCTGTTCCACTCTCGGACAAGAATATGTGTCGGCCACCCCGCCGAATAACGACATTTCATGGGTGGCTGAATCCTTCTTACTGCCTCATGTTACTTCTTTTCAATCAATCTTACAGCTGGTTGTTTCTTCTGCCGAAGGCGCGCTTCGTCTTCTTCCGAGTCTTCCGTTCCCGAGGATGACTGCATATCTTGTCCATTAAGAACTGCTCGAATTCTTCTCTTGGACATTCCGTCGAGTTCGTACACGCATTTGTCCTCTAGTTCCCTCAGCGAATAGCAGCGAAGGATAGGAGGAATCATCCGTTCAATCGTATCTTTCTTTAGGCTCGAGAACATTTCCTCCACGAGTCTGGCACGATTACCAGCGTATTCTCCCACAAAGTACAGTGGTTTATCCAGGTCCAAGTCACTTCCGTATTCCCCTTCTGAGCTGCTTACTTCGTCGAGATCCTCCTTAATGTCGAGCTTGGTGACTACAGCGTGGTTCTTCTCTCTCCTAGCGCGTTTCCGCTCGGTCCTGGATATCGGTAAGCCAAACGACGGTGACTCGCTGCCATCGCGCGCGGTGGTGCCTGCCCGTTTCCGGTCATGACTAGGTCGACGCTTCGAGCGTCCAGCTTCCTCCGATACCCGTCGCTCACCAGGGTTTGGACAGCGCGGGCGGAAAGGCATTGTTGGCGCCATGCCTACGGAAATACCTGTAAGCAAAACAAACCAAACGATAACACAAACCACAACAGAGTCTTGGATTGCAACCTACCTCGGTGAAGGGCAGTAACAGGTGTGTGAAGTGAGGATTGAGGAGGCTTGGGCCTGGAGTTGCTGGAAATTCTCCATTTCCTGAATAGATCTGCGATTGGCTCAATTCGACTACTTTGTTCAGCCTCTTTACCGGCCGAATGCACGCAGTGCAAATTTTCGTCAACCAAGCAGTCTTGTAGTTGTGCAGCGTTCGAGTGCATCTAATCAAGTCAAACGGTGACGGAACCGCTGTTTTTAGACGCGTGTCGTCATGTTCTGATGCTCACTGCACACCTGCGCTCGACACCTGTTCCTTCATTCGCCAAAAACTGAGAATTTTCAGCAAGTCTACTTGGGCCTTGGGAGCATGAGGAATCGAGGATTGAGTAAAGACTATGCTGAGACCCCCCGGGTTCCCCCGAGGCCACAGCACGCACTAGGCACTATGGTTTCGCGCAGTGCTGTACTGTATAGTCCCAGAAAATATCGCCCGGGGTAACTAGAGAGTTTATCCGACTTTATCCGTCTATCGTCTCTTCGCCCGGAAAGTTTTCCATGAGCCGGTCTCGTAACTGCGCGAAACTTTCAAGAGGTTGTTACAGTCATGTCCCGCGACTAAGCATAAGTAGGCCATTCTTACATCAGTATGACCTCTACAACAGAAACCATACTGACGGCAAGAAGCGTGCCCCTGTGCTGGCCTGAGTTTCTATTTATTGCTTTTCGATCAAACATGCGACAAATTACCAATGGTTCAATGCGGTGAATGAATAAGTGGATTTAGACATCCGCGCCACCGTGCGGCTGGTTACTAGGCTAGCAGTGGTTCCCGATTTTAGTGAGGTGCCAGGGTGCGCTGCTGGCGGCAAGAAGGTACTTCATGTAATCCAGCATAGCATGTGCGAAAGAAATTTTCCATTTTATAATTTTTCTTTTGCGTTGCTTTTCACGACTCTCGAGATAAACTTCTTCCCATCTGTTCCACATCACTAGTCGTTTCTTCCTCTTGAAGTTGGCTAAGAAATTAGTCTGACAAAGGGAAGACTGTTGAGTTCGTGCGCATTGAAGTCGTCGGGGCTCATTACATCAGTTTGCGCTTGATCTCCTATCTACGGTTTGTGCTTTGGAAAAAGAGTACTGTTATAGCGTTGGGTGACTCTTAAAGTACAAGATTCAAGCAGTAGTCTTGCTGTTCTAGCATAACAAATTATGTCTGCGAGGGTACGAGCCTCCAGGGAGGGATACGGGAAGGATATGACTTCGAGGTAAGTGTTTTTCGATTACCTGTTCGTGCGTACGAGTGATTGTGCGATTTGTTAACCTCGTTGTTCTTTTTGTACCGTTTTAGCTCTTCCAGATCGAAGACTGATCGGGAAGGCTCGCACCGTCGGAGTCCAGCGCGCACTGAACGAGGCAGATCGCCCAGTTCTAGCACTGTTCGTAAACAGCAGCATCAGTCAACTAGTCATGATAATAACTCACACCGTCTTTCCTCCCATTCCACAAATAGGGACCGTGATGATCGTGTTTGGAATGGTCGGCCTCGCAAGCGGAGCCGTGAACGCACGTCCAGAGAACGGGATGATGCTAAGAAATCTAAAGCTTCCAGCAACTTCGAGCGCAATCGCAATGGCGAAGCCAGCAAAGATTTCTCAAGACGATACACAGATGGGAAGAAAGAATCCTCGAAGACGTCGTCGGAGCGGAAGGATGATACCAGAAACGGCAAAAGTGACAGCAAGGATGATTCGAAGAAGAGAAGCTCGAGGAAGACAGATGAAGAGTAAGCCTTGCATTTCTCGTACTCTAGTAAAGTAGTATGCGGCGACCTGAATACCTTTGTGTCGTGATGTATATGCGGTATGGGGTATGCAGGTTCGCGACAGTATGATTGCGTGCAGTACGTGTAGCTTTAAAGTCGTTCAGACTAGTTTACAGTTCGGGTGTGGTATAACAGGAGAATTTCTTCTAGGTTGGAGTTGAAAGATGAAGAGGACGAGGAAGCCATCATCGAACGTCGACGAAAGCAACGCGAACAGCTGCTAGCCAAGCTGAAGAAAGACCAGCCAGAATCACTTCCGGTTGACGAGAAGAAGCCCATCCCTGCCATTCCACACAACAGTCCCGTTAAACTCCAGTCCCAGGTTATTCGTTTGCTGGTTTCCGTTTCTCGTGAGCCTTCACCGTCGTCGCGTAGTAGTGTTGTGGATTCGCTAGATGCCTTTGAGCTAGATGGCGATGAGGACTTTGAGGCAGGGCTGAAAGATAAGCTGAAGCTGGTGGACCAGCCAGGGCCCGGTGGACGGGCAGAGCAAGATCAGGAGATGGCCGCCAGGATGGACAAAGACCCCGAATGGACAAAGAGGATAGGACTACTCATGACGCAAGGACTGCCACCGGGTGCCATGCCACAACCGAAACCGGAAAGGAACGTGGACATCTTTGCTGATGTTGACATGTTCGGAGATGACTATCAGGTGATACATCCTAAGAAATGTGACATTGACCACAGCTCTTATCGTTTCCTTTCTTGTAGAATTCCGCGGCGGCGACGGCGAATGGCGCGGAAGGGAATGCGGATAGTTCTGCCTTGGCCGATAACTGGGACGATGCTGAAGGATATTACCGTAAGTGTTCCTGTTAATAGCCTCTGGCCAATCGAGCTTTGTTAAATGTTTTTCTGTTGATAGGTGTCCGGGTTGGTGAAATACTCGACGGAAGATATCAGGTCTTTGGGTATACTGGCCAGGGTGTCTTCAGTAACGTGGTGCGGGCCCGTGACTTGGCTCGAGGGAGGGACAAGGATGAGCAAGTCGCCATTAAGATTATCCGCAATAACGAAATCATGTAAGTGTTTACGATCGATCCTTTTGGCGACACCGGTTTGAGCTGTTGCTTATACACGCTGCTAAATTTTCTTGCAGGCATAAGACGGGTCTTCGTGAGCTGGAGTTCCTGCGGAAACTGAACGACACCGATCGCGAAGACAAGTTCCACATCATGCGGCTGCACCGCAGCTTCTTCCACAAGAAGCATCTGTGCTTGGTATGCGAAGCGATGAGGTAATTGAGACGTTGGTGATCCATTCATCCGAGTTTCTTTTCAAGTCGTCTGGTATGAGTGTTCACACCCAGACTTTTATGTTGTAGTATGAATCTGCGCGAGGTGCTGAAAAAGTTCGGCCGTAACGTAGGACTTCACATCAAAGCAGTGAGGTCTTACAGTCAGCAGCTGATTCTGGCGCTCAAGATGCTGAAACGCTGCAACATTATGCATGCCGATATCAAGCCTGACAACATCCTCGTGAACGAAACGAAGTTGATGGTGAAGCTGGGAGATTACGGCTCGGCATCGTACTCTCACGAATGCGACATCACACCGTACTTGGTCAGTCGCTTCTACCGCGCTCCTGAAATCAGTAAGTTCAGTATATCACTTCCAGTCAGCGGCATATGGCCTTTTAACAGAGTAATTTCTTGTAGTTCTGGGATGTCCTTATGAC